GAGCCCTTTGTTCCTATCTTAACAGAAAGGATACACAGCAAGGAAAAGCAGGCCCTCTCAGCATGGATAAATGCAGAATTCTAGGCATCATCACTCTACCACATTCTTTGAAAATAATGCTCCCCAAGACACAAATACAATACATACCTCACGAACCAGGCATCCTAGAGTGGGCAGCCTGCCAGCCCTGCCCATTTATCTCTGGCCCTCATAGCTAAAGCCACCATTGCCTGCCATTAGGTTCAGCTCAGCCATAGTTCTTGGCCTACTTGAAATACATAATTGGCTTAAATACACAGAATCCCTCCAGTGGAGCTTGGGGTCTTGTCAGTTTCTCAGGCCCAGGATTAGATGATCATAACCAGTTACATACAACCAAGTCCATAGAGCCCAGCCTGCTCTCACTAATCCCAGTTATCTTCACAGTCTACTTGTGTTTCCTAGGCCACACCATAGACTGATGCTCCTGTTTTGGTTTCTGCTTCTGACTGTCCACCTGTTTTCACTCTACCCAGTGTCCATGGCCCTATCCTGGATGGGAACACTGCCCTGCATGCCAGCTGAGGTCAGTAATGGTCCGTTTCTGCTCCTGCCCAACCCTTCCTCTTGGGATGTACTCTTGGGTTTCTTATATCCAATAGGTAACTATAGACAAAACATAATCAAGATCTTTTTCTTCTTTAAGTCCTTTGTGGCCCAGTATTCATTAAGAATCATTTCTAAACCCAGACTGTTGAATCATTTCTCAAGGCCCTGTAGGTAGCTTCTTGCCTTGTGTGGTCAGAGGGCCTTGTCATGGGGGCATTCAGGTGGAAGCAGAGTGGCTGTTGGCTGGAGGGGTGGCAGAGATTTGGTCACCTAAGGCCTTTCCCACCTAAGGATCTGTCCTAGATCGTCCTCTGGCTCATACATAAAGTTTGACCAGGAATATTGCTGGTCACACTATGCCTTAAGCACAGCGCTGAGCCCTGGGTATCACGATAAGATGGACTGGAGAATTTCATGGGACATGGAGTCAGACCACGAGGGGGTTAGAAGAATGCAATGTAAGAAAGGGGCTGGCTGTCTACCTTGGGATAGAGAGGACTCAGGGGAGATGTGATGGCTGTGTTCAAGGCTGAGGCATGTCCTCTTGGGAAAGGAAATGGACTGAATCTGTGTGACTGCAAAGACAAAGGTTGAAACCACGTATGTTACATTTTGTAATGAGAGACACAGATGGGTTTACCTTGGGGACAGGCAGTTGTGCTTTGAAAAGAAAAAAGGGAAAGGAGGAGAACTAGATGCCAGGTGTGGTCAGAGCAGGTTGCCATGTGGCATTCGGGTGAAAGCAGACGGCCACCCCTCCAGGCAGCAGCCCAAGAAATTGGCCTTCACTGATGGAGAAGCTACTACAGGGCCGCAAGAAATGATTCAGTGGTCTGGGTTCTGAGAGTATTCTTAGTGAATACTGGGCCACAAAGGACTTTAAAGAGGAAAAATGAGATCTTGATTATTTTTTGTCTACAAGTGGTTACCTATTGGATAAAATAAGCCCAAGAGGCCCAGAGTACAACCCCGTTTAGGGACCTTCCCAGGTCTCCAGTGGCTGGGTCGCTCAGCACCTCTGCCTCAGATTCTTCTCTCTGGACTCCACGTCCTATGTGCCTGCTTCCCCAGGGATGCTCACCAGTCTGACCCATGCTTTCTGCTCCCTAGTTGGGCTCTCCTGGGACCATGGGTTTCTTTCAGGACATCTCTGCTTTCCAAACCTGCCTTCACCCCTAAAGGATACTGGTGGCTCCCCCTCCTTCAGCACATAGAAGCTTCTGGAACTTCAGGTTAAATCCACCACCTCTGCCACTTGCCATTCTGACTTTACGGAGAGTCTCTGTTCTATGTTCCCTACATTCTTTTTTCACTAGCCCCCAAACGCAAAAGACATAATTTGGCCACATATCTTGGAAAGCGTCACATCCGTTTAGATGCAATAGAAGGAAGGAGTCTAGGGCTGTGCCACCTTGGACATGTGCCATCTCGTCTAATCTTAGAAGCTAAGCAGGGTTGGGCCTGCAAGGAAAGGGGTGTTGCAACCCAGGGCTCCCGTTTAAGAGCCCATGGCCCCACGGTGACATTCAGAGTAAGAGTGGGGGATTTTCAGAGAGCCACGGAAAGGCAGTGGATTAGGAGCCAGAAATGGAGATCAAACCCGGGGTCTCTCGTGGAGCACACCTGCCTGCTCCAGTCAGCCTGTTCTTGGAACCATCAGGGTTTAGATATTCTTAGGCTGAGTGAAACATGACATACTGGCTGCCATGGCAATGCAGTTATAAATTCTGTTTTGGCACCCAGTCATCTCTTCAGAAGGCATTCTAGGACTTTTCCTTCAACCCACAGGCATAGAATTTCCTAAAACATAACAAGCTCATTTCATCTTGAAAGGGGTGTCAGCCCACCAGTGCACTGCTCCTGGGGCCTAAAGCACACCGCAGGGCGGGGTGGTTTAACGCGGGATTGGAAATAAGGCCAGTCCAGCTTTTACTCCTCTTTACAGTGTCCAGGAAGTGGAGGGAGTGTCCTAAAAACTCAGAGCTTGGCTTAGAAGGTTGCCTATTGTAATGATACACAGTAGCAGGGGCTGGAAGCTGAAACTGCAGTCCTGACAATTCTCTAGCATCTGAAACCAGTCTCCTGCAAGGCATAAAACTGAGCTCATAAAAGATTCTCACACCAAACCTACCATTGTGTTAATCCCCCAGGAAAAGACAAATCTGCCCACCCCTGGTTTCACTGTAAAACAAAGCCCATTCCATGGCTGGGTAGAGAGGTGGGGTAGAGTGCTGAATTCGGCTGTCCTTGCAAACTTTGAAAAGAGCCACGTGGCCGAGGAGGTTGTGTCCAAGGCTTCATGCTCGGAGCAGCTGTACTACCTTGTAAAGCATAACAGACTCAAGCTTACTCAGTACTCACCAGGTTCTGGGCGTGGAGCCAGGCGGGGATGGCAGTCACAGATGCTGCCTTCATGGAGCTCGTCCTGGGGCAGCAGGGAGGAGAAGCCGAGGACGTAAGGGAGTGTGATGCATATCCGAGGAAAACCTGCCTCTGCGCCTTATAACAAAAAGTAACGTAACTGGTTTTAATTCTCACCTCTGCAACATAAATGCAAACAGGAGGCTCTAGGTGCCATAGAGGCCACGGGGGTGGGAGGGGGGGTTTACATGCATTCGAGGGGTCCAGGAATGGCTTTGTGAAGAAGGGGGCCTCCAACTGGAGAGGGTCTCAGGCTGGAGGGATTGACACAGGCCAGGAAGAAGCCTCAGGGATAAAGACATGGTGATGCTTGGGGCATGTTCAGGGAATTGAATTGTTCCGTGTGGCTGTAAGTCAAATACTTGTGAAAAAGTACTGCTATCCAAGCAGCAGAGCTAAGTGAAGGCCACCTACCTCCTGGCGACCTTCAGCTGCTCTTGCAGCCTGTTTAGCAGACACAGCCGAATTCGAGTGTACCAGGCAGGAGACCATCCCCCAGAGATTACTTTCCCTCCTATGCGATCACAGGTACAGA